CTTCCTCCCCAAATCTATCTTCCTCCTAATGTGGCTATTTCTCCCGATGTGTTGAACCTGTCAATATAAGTCAATGCCCTTAGGGTCACCTTTGTCTCCTTCATGTTCAGTGACCCAGCTCTATTTCAGCATAGTGTTGGGTATTCCATCTATCTATTCTGTTCCATTCCTTTTTCTACCTTAAATTGGACCCTCAAAGCTTCTCTCAGTTTGGACTTACTGAAGCAGCTTCATAGAAGAAAATATATCTGTTATTTGAAATGGTTATCTCTAGCTGGTGAGATTCTGAGTAATTTTTGTTGTCTTCCTTGTAAATTTTTGGATTTTTAAAAATTCTCCATAGTGACTATGTACTACTTTCATAATCAGAAAAAATAACGTTTTTAAAAACTGACTATAATAAAAGGAAAAAAAAATTAGTTTCAGTCACTCTTTGAGCATTTATTGAATGTTCCCTCCCTCACAAAGCTTTTCCAGATTTGCTCTACCTGTCTTGTGCTTGATCACTTCTTTGAAATTGCTTGGGTTTTTTTGTGTTTTTAAACTTCTAATGTCATTAATATATTTTAACACATGAACTGCCATGTGAGTTGTATTTAACTCACACTAGTTTTGAGCCCGGAGCCTTGTGAAGCATATGTAGCTAACACATCTCTTTACCTTGGGAGCCGCAAAAACTATTTTTCAAGTTGCATATAACTCATGCACAGAAAACAATAAAAAATAACAAATTTTTCATTAAATTAGACATGATCATTTCATTTTCAAAGTTTTTATTCTCTTTTCCTAATAAAACACTGTGGCCAGGCCGGGCGCGGTGGCTCACGCCTGTAATCCTAGCACTCTGGGAGGCCGAGGCAGGTGGATCGCTCAAGGTCAGGAGTTCAAGACCAGCCTGAGCAAGAGCGAGACCCCATCTCTACTAAAAAATAGAAAGAAATGATCTGGACAACTAAAAATATATTGAAAAAAATTAGCCGGGCATGGTGGCACATGCCTGTAGTTCCAGTGACTCGGGAGGCTGAGGCAGAAGGATCACTTGAGCCCAGGAGTGTGAGGTTGCTGTGAGCTAGGCTGACACCACGGCACTCACTCTAGCCCGGGCAACAAAGCGAGACTCTGTCTCAAAAAAAAAAAAAAAAAAACACTGTGGCCCTGAGGAAATTTTTTTCTAGTGTGACAGTCAATGTGTTACTATATTTTTTTTCCTATATTAAATTTCTATTGTTGTCTTACCTCTTAGACAATTTTTAAAGACAAAGTGTTAGCCTGATCCTGTTTATGGATAATAATTCTTAGTAAATTTTTGTGAAATGTATTGAATTGAACCAAAAATAATATAATTGTGAGCTGATAACCACTAAATTCTGCGTCAAATTATTTTCTTTGTGTGCTTCATTTCAATGTTTGTTAAACTTAATGCCATCGTCACCAAAAGCTCATTCATAATGGGCTGGATGATAGAGACAGAAGTTGGAAAATAGGTCAGGTATGTTGTCTTACTGGTCCTAGTCCAATTATTGGTTTCTGTTAGAGGAAGTATGTATGTAGCAGGAAGCCTGAGAGAGGCAGAAGAGAGCACTGAAGCATTATTCACTAAAAGAAAACATTTTTTAAAAATCCACATCATTTGCATGGTCTTTATTATGACATCTCCCCTTTGTATGTCATGTGATTGCTAATTATAGATATTTAAATGGTCAGTAACCATTAATACTAAGTAGAAGCACTAGGAGATTTCTAAATTGGACACCTTTAAAAATTCAGGTCTGGCCAGGTGTGGTAGCTCATGCCTGTAATCCTAGCACTGGGAGGTAGAAGCAGGAGGATCGCTTGAGCCTAGGAGTTTGAGGTTGCAATGAGCTATGATGACACCACTGCACTCTGGCCCATGCGACAGAGTAAGACCCTGTCTCAATAAATAAATAAATAAATAAATTCAGGTTCTATTTACATATCACATATTCCAAGTATCATTCTACTTGTGCTGTCTTTAGTTTCAAGTTGGGGGAATTTGAACACTGGGGATCCGCTGAAACAATGAGGGTACTTCTAGTTTGGAATCCTTACAGGGCTGTCATGGCATAGCCCACACTCGTCACTACTTCACTAAAAATGTGACTTCAAAAAAGTAAAATGCTGTTCTTTTGTGTGTGTGTATGTAGCTTAGATTCCTGCCTGAGTCTTAATCTAAAGTTAAAAAGGTTAAACTTGAATCCAGTGAAGAAGAATTCAATGTTACTTTGTATATGGGGAGCAGAATGATCATATATGTGACAGGAAATCACATACTTGTTGAACTTATTCTTTAAACACTGTATAGTGTTCACTCTGTTCCGGGTACCTGTTTTAAGTACTTTTGAAGCTTTATGTTAATCCTCATAAAAACCCTTTGGGGTTGGTACTATTATCCCCATTTCAAAAAGGGGAAACTGAGGTATAGAGTAACTTGCCCAAGGTCATTCAACCACTGAGTGGGACAGCTGGAATTTGAACCCAGGTCATCTGGCTCTACAGTTCTATGCTCATAACTACTGTCCTTTCAAATTAATTGAATTGACCATCCTTGGACCTGAGACCACTCTGTTCTGAGACCACTCTAAAAGTCAAGGAGAGTGCCTTTGGGGATTAGTTCCAGGTAAGTAATGTTCCATTCCTTTTGATAGTTTTATCAAGGAACATCTATTAAGTGCTTGATTACACAGGATCTGTACCAAATGCCTTTTCAGTTTGGATGGACTTAGGAAATGACGAGTAAGTGCCTGTCTCAGGTGCATTTGGGTTAACTATCCATGTAAAGCTTACCAAAAGATAAGTGAATATGAATACTTCATGTGTCTATAGTGCTCATAGAGTTCATATTTCATCGCATTTGATCCTCGCTCCAACTCTTTGAGGGAGGCAGGGCAAGAGAGGCTCAGAAAGGTTAAGTGACTTTCTAAAAGTCTCACAGATAGTGAGCAGCAGGGTTAGTGCTCTAATCCAGTTCTGCTGACTCCACATCCAGTGATCTTTCCTCTAGATTTAACCCCTTTCCAGCCATCTGAACTTTGCTGTTACCTTGGCAACAGAGTAGAACACTGAGTTCATGGAAACCATGGTATTGCTTTCTCCGTATGCCACAAAGTTATAATACAAGTTCAACTGAGGTCACTTTAACCACCAATCTTTGTGTCAAATTCCCTTCTTTATATGCTTCATCTTAATGTTTGTTAAGCTTACCTGTCCTTGTCACCAAAAGCTTGTTCATGATGGGCTGCTTGGCAGATAGATGAGGTATGCTGTCTTTTCTGATCTTGGTCCAGTCAATTCTATTTCTCTTAGTCCTGGGATGTGGGTGTGAGGCAGGAAGCCTCAGAGACACAAAATAGCAGCCTGGAGTAAGGACTTTCCCCCTCCTCAGGCCTCATTTTCCACCTTCCATGTTGTCATTTGCCCCTCAGTTGCTCTTGTGAGATGTGGCTATTCAGCAAAGATGAAGAAGAGCTTTCGCCTTTCTGTTGGTTTGCAGTAACATACTCTATTTAGAGTGATTTATATAAGGATAGTTTTTATTTTAGAGAAAATAGCCACGCAGCATCCTTTATCAATACAGTTTGTAAGGGATGGTGTGGTCCATTCACTTTTCACCCTGGTAGGAAGTTATGAAGGGTCAGATGTATGATCAGATCCAAAGAAAACTTTAAATGGTCATTTAACATTTTGCCAGCAGGTGGCACTTCTCTCCTTACTCACCAAACACAGTCTCTCTAGGAAATACTGTTCCTATTTATTTGCTCTACTGAGTTCCTCAGAGTGATTTTATACTAAGTTTAGCCAGACCCAAACATTTCTCTTTCCCTTTTGTGGCAGGGTAGTCTACAGTATCTGTTTACAGGTTTTAATATATTTATACCCTCTTTCCCCAAAGAATTGGAATTGCTTACAATATACAGTATACAATAGTAAAATATGAAGAAAATGAGAATGTAAATGATAAAGAATATCAAATTTGATTCAGTTTCCAGTAGCTGGAACAATGAATGATATGGTTTTCATTACCAGGTCTCTGTGTGAATGGGGAGGGAGAAGGAATGACCTTTCTAGGATCTGAAAGAAAAATGGAATTTCTCACCTAGGGTGTTTCTGTTGTGCCCTTCTCATCTGTCTATTCTAATTTATAAGTTATTCCTGGCATGTAAAGACGAAGCAGTACTTTTATTACTATGTAGCCTCAGGGCTGTGCAATCAGCATTCTTCAACCTATCGGCTTCCAACTTTTCAAGATGCCAGCCTCACTCATTCATTCCACCTACATAGATTGTCCTGGGCATTGGAAACACAAGCATGTCCTTTAGGCAGGCTTGAGTGCGCCCAAATCAATTTATGTTAAGAATCCTCTCAGAGAGCTTTTAACTAGCTGGAGAAAGAAGACCTACGTTTACACTCATGAAAAATATCAGAGCGCTGTGCCAGACAGTGTTATCAGTCAAATGCTACATCTGTGTGATTGCTTTTAATAGGGTTCTCCTCGGGTTATTAAAAATATATCGGTAAATCCCAGCTCTTTCAAGTTTCTCTCCAACTGGAAACCAGATTGAAACTGGCTTCCACTATCAGTAAAGTTTGTATGCGATGGCGTGGTCTGCAATAGCCGGGGTAGGAGCGGGTAGGAGCTGGCTAGACAGAGGCGGGCGCTCCCGTCCCCTCGCCCCTCCGCCGGGCCACAGGGTACTTCGCCGAGACCAGCCCCAAGTGCCGGTCAGCCCGGGTCTGAAGGGCCACAGTCTTGCCCCGCCATCGTTGGCTGAAGTTAGGGCAAAGACTGGGGAGCGGGCCAGGGCGGGAGCTCCAGCGAGCCAGACCGGGCGGCGGCTCCCGAAGGTGCGGCCCGGCTCCCTGCGCCCGCGGGCGGCGGCGGCGGCTTTGTGGCGCGCGCGGGTTCCACCGCCGGTGGCGCGAGGCGGGGCCGAGCGCGGGCGCCGGCTGCCCAGACACTCGGCCGGCTGCGGGCGCCGGGCATGGCCAGCCCCGCGCGGTCCGGCTTCCCTGCGCGCGCCAACAGCCGCCTGGACGCGTTCCTGCGGCGGCATCTGCCGCCCGAGGTCTACGATGGCATCCGCGCTTACTAGCCATGCATCGTGCTGTCCGACTCGGAGAACCACACCTTCAAGTACGTGGTGCTCAGTGACCGGCTTATCTACCTGACCGAGAACCCGCCCAAGTCCATCCAGCAGGTCGTGGCGCTGCGGGACGTCGTGGCCATTGACCTGGTGAGCAGCGCGGGCGGCAGGCGGGCTCGGGAGCGCAGCCAAAACCCCCTTCTTGGGCCCTCAATCCCAGCCCTCCTGCACGCGCGGAGGAGGAGGAAGACCTTCCCCATCCCGCCCTGGACTCCTGCACACTCCTTAACTTACTTGAGAACGAGCAGCCACACAGGGAAGTTGTGGATTGCCATATGCACCCGAGTAAAGATGCCTTTCCCACTCTCTTGTGTCTGCTCATCCACCCATCCCCCCTTCTCCACTCCACCCCCGAAAGGGCTTTAGGTTTGAGAACATAGCTCCCTATCAAAAATACGCTTTAAAGGCATTCCTTTGTTTATTAAGCACCTAGTATGTGCCAGGCGCTGTGCGAGACCCAGAGGATGCAAAAACGAAATTGGGCCCCTTCCTGGAAACCGCTGTAGGAGGGACCAGAAGCCAACACCAATGCAAATAAATGCCATGTGTTAAGTGCTGTTATGCTTTGTTCACTTTTTTGTCCCAGTGCTCAGAGCATGTTAGGTGCTCATTAAGAATAAATGAATGGGCCGGGCGCGGTGGCTCACGCCTATAATCCTAGCACTCTGGGAGGCCGCCGAGGTGGTTTGAGCTCAGGAGTTCGACACCAGCCTGAGCAAGAGCGAGACCCCGTCTCTACTAAAAAAAATATATAGAAAGAAATTATATGGACAACTAAAACTATATAGAAAAAATTAGCCGGGAATGGTGGCGCATGCCTGTAATTCCAGCTACTGGGGAGGTTGAGGCAGGAGGATCTCTTGAGCCCAGGAGTTTGAGGTTGCTGTGAGCTAGGCTAACGCCATGGCACTCCCTCTAGCCAGGGCAACAGAGTGAGACTCTGCCTCAAAAAAAAAACAAACAACGAAACAAAAAATAAATGAATGGATGTGGAAAGAAAAAAATAAAAATGAATGAATGAATGAATGCGTTAATGAGATGTGTACAGGATGCCTGGCAATCTCAGGCAGCTCACTTGATCCAAACAGGGCTTAGAGCATGCTAGGAAAACTTCCTGGAAGTAGTGTCATCAGAGTTGAGCCTCGAAGGAGATCCAATCTGGCATAGCTGTATCTCAGTTTTTAGTATGATGCTGCTACTGCATCCCTTTCCTCCAGGAATAGATGTACCTTATAAACCAGCACCAGATTGGAAGCACAGTCTCCTCTCCAGTTGCCACTCCCACCCCACCCCCCAGACTTGGCTCCCTTTGTGTGAGCTGCTGTCTGGGTGTGTTCTTCCTTTTTCCATTGGGGACAGGTGTCTAGCCTCGTTTCTTTTTTTTCCTTTCTTTCTTTCTCTTGCCTAAGTCTCTCTGTTTCCCAAGAGAAAGGCTGGCAAGACTCTT